GGTTTACTGGGTCATTAGCTTCTTCCTGCTGCCTAGTCTCCGGTCGGCAGACACCGTGCCTCTCATTCCCAGCTTTGGCCGCGGAGGAGCCGATTCGAGAGGAAATGAAGTGAAGGGAAATGATGGCGGACCACGTTGAGCCGTGCTGTTGAAACAGCCTTATTACTGTTAGGTTTGTATTTCAATTGTAAAACCATTTCCACGTTCGGTAAAGAGTGTAGGCCTCAGAGACTGGGTTGACAATGAAAGTTGCGAGGTTAGACGTCTACTGAGACTGTTTCGATCCTTTTCCGTATCATTCAAATCGTTGGTGTCACGCTCTCTGGCTTCAGAAGCATCTCTCAGACCGAGCAAACCATTATAACGAAACTTCGGCTGATTGGTATAATTTTTGGGGGGCCCAACCTGCATATTTTAGTTATCTATCAAATCACGTCATCGATATATGACCCCATTCTCAAAGGTCGGTGCAATGAGAGAATCGAACTCGGCGCTTTGTGACGCGTTCATGTAACGTGTGTGCAATGGACCTTTTTGGAGAGGGGTTCTGAAAGTGTAACGATGTCATATCATGACCATCACCAAAGCTTGTGATCTCTCTTAGGAACATTCTAGGGCAAAGTCAAGTCAGGCTTAACATGAAAGTTATTTTAAACGTATATTTTAAACACATCGTAGCACGTGACACTCAACTATGCAGATCACTTTAAGGGGGATGTGCCACACCCGAATATATTAAAGCAAGCATCAAGTATCATGAAATAAGCTCACTTATATAACTATTGGTATACGTTTGGATGGAAAGAGATGCTCTAGACAGGTGAATTATTTGTTAGGCAAATATGCTTACCGATATGTCATCGTTTGATTACGTGATCTTACCTTGCACAACATTCATTGGCGGTCGATTGATGGCCGTCATATTTGAAAATTACGCTCACGGACGATAGATATGAATGACTCGACAATTATTGCTTGCTTGGCCTTGATCGCCATATGGCGAATCTAATGGTAGGGTTTGAATGGCGTTATTAAAGCGTCATGGATGCCTGGGTGGCCTTAACAAAGTCTCAAGGAAATAGCTGTACATACCTGCAGGCGTGTTGCTCAGCAAATAGAAGAGTTTAGGTTTTAAGAAAGGGTAGGGCTGTTAACTGCGCTGAATGATAGGTACGTCAGCTTAATAGGTACGAATGATAATTCAAGATAGGTACGTCAGCTTAAAGCCCCATGCCAATGTGCAGCACTCTCTTTCAGGCAGACTGTAATCATCAATTTACTTCATATTGCATCAGACGCAATCGTAAACACGCGTCCATGTGGCCGCCTAGATACCCTTCGCTCGGGAGGAGGTCAGTTTCACCCCCTTGAGATCTCAAAAAGTTAAAAAGATAGAGGTACCAAATTTACAGGGTGTGTTGACCTGAACGTGAACTCAATTAGGTCAAAGGTTCAGGTTTCTAGGCCATGACTTTCGGTTCAAACAAGGTCAAACAGGGTCAAGTTCCGTGTTGTTGTCCAAAGTGCCCCAAAACCTAGACAACCGTTTCGAAACAAAATATCAAACAATCATTCAAGGTCAGTGACCTTGTTTTGACATTTTGAAGGTCAAGGTGACCAAAATCATACAAGACTGCTTTGAGTTTTGCATTTGACTAAGCAACAAAGATTACGCTAGGCAATATGCTGCTAAGCAAAATGTTGACCTGGGTCATTTTAGATCATTGTCCTATCCTGACCTCCAAGAAGTCCATGGAAATATATAATGCGGTTATTGCTATCAATAAAATTGAAATGAGCACCAGAAACTATCCCATACAGCAAGCCCTAGAGTAACAAAACAGATTGGTTTTGACCTTGGTGTGACCTTCATACCCGACCTTAGGGTAATGTAATTTGCTCATTCAACTGTTGAGTTGCCTAAGAAAGCATCTCAGAGATGTATTGCTTTCGTCTAACACTTCGTTGTTGAATCAGATTGAGAGGTTCCCTAGAAATTGCCTTCGCTGAAACCGTGGTCTGATTTTGACCTGCCATAGGTCAGCGACCTTACAAGGTAAATTCAATCGTTTATGCCAAACGATTTTTTCTTCAATTTTCTATAGCTATGCAAAATTTGGAGCGGGTGCGCCACGCTATTCCGAAACCATTCTGGAAAAACCTTTGGGGGGTCAACTTGACCCCCACCCCCACCCGAGCGCGTGTTATGCAATCTTAACTGATCGAAGTGTTATACTAACATTGCAAGAGCCAGTGAAGGTCAGACCAACGTCAGGTTACCCTTTGAAACACCCCAGAGTGCTGTAAATAGGCATTTCACAACGCACCAACGGCGATCTTGTGCGCAAGGATTACAAGTGCAAGGTGATTGAAGGACAAGATTATGCGAGACACTGAATAGCGCAAATAAGCCCTCAAACATAAATGAAATGGACTATTTGATCTTAACCAGTTTTACCCTGTTGTATTTTAACAAGTTGACGTCTTTGCTAAGCTTGTACAAAGCTGAGTAAGGAAGGTAAAATAACGTAAAAAAGTAGTAATGTCTCATCTGAAATAACATGGCAAGCCAACGGATAGAGATGCTGCAAAAAGGGCCTTCTAAAAGTTGATAACAGGGTGCATGGTTACCGCCTGGTTGTTTCGAACCTGCTCCAACACATCGGGTCACCAGGGGAGTCACCTCTCCTCCCCCTCCTACGCCGAGGAGGGGCCAGCGAGCAAACCTGACGATAATTAAATATGACTCGCTAACTATTCTTAAGCAATCACAATAGTGAATTATGTGAAATGTAAGCTTTACGTAGATTTTGGTGCGATCGTCTTTAACAAAACATTGCAGCCAAACAACTTAACTGAGACGGCTCTACTTTCGGGCCAGAAGGCTTCAAGGGGTGTTGACATTGCATCCCACGCATTGTGGTTTTTGACTATTGATTATATCATATCAAACCTTAGTGTTGTTTTCCTCAGCTTGTGCCGAAGTTTGAGCGTTCATCACAAGCACATTTAAAATTATGTTTTCGGTGCTTCTTTGTCTGAATTGACTGAAAATACTGAGTGTTCACCATTTGTGCCCCATTTGCAAGCTGACTAAAACGTTAGTGTGTTTTGTTTCATGAAACGTTCTATCCAGGCTGTGAACTACATGTTGCATTATCAAATAAGTCAATTCGGTAATGTAACATTTTCTGGAATGGTGTCAAAGACAAAATCTGCTAGAATGCAGTCTTTGATATTTTTCCAGAAAGCGTGGGCATAGACTCATTATACGATTTACTAAAAACGGCTTTCCTAAGTGCATTGCATCAGATCTGAATCGATTTACACAGTACCGCACTTCTGCACACATAGTGAAATTTATGAAGCCACTTTTGCGCACAAGAATTTGCCACCGTTTTAATCACTATGAACTGTCAACGCTCGCCTGGACAACCCTTTTGACTTCGGTTAGATTAGATTGAGTTAAGTTAGGTTAGGTTAGGTCATGTAAGCCTATGTTGGGTTAGGCAAACGCTAGGTTAGGTTTGGCTAGGTTAATTAGGTTAGACGAACATGTGCCTGGTTCCAATACTTCTTCCCCAAAACCGGTTCCTGGTTTTGGAACCTGGAACTAGTCTGGAATCGGGCAAAGGGGAAAAGGCAGGAACCAGTATTCAGTCCCATTAAGCCGAAAGATTTACTAAGATCCATGCTCCAGCCTCGTCATAAGTAGAAAAATTCAGCCAGAACCAAGAAAGCTTGACAATAAGGCAACAGATCCGGCAGAAACGAGATCTCATCCGATACCAAGCCAAGAAAACCAACATAAACCAAAGTCCAGCCTTGCGTTTTGTTGAAAGATCCAGCATGGATCAAAATACAGCTTAGCATCTCCAACATGCTAACGCGTTGGAAATGTCAGAAGAGGAGACAAAGGTAGGACAAAACAGCCCTGCAGGTTTACTTATGGCGAGGGTCCATGTATGTTAGCATATCTGAAAAAAGCATAAAATTCCACTTTAGGACGTGCCTACCTGTGGTCGAAAAATGCCTGCAGATCTATGCGACTGTTTGCTGTTGGTGGAGCCTTTTGAGCAAGTGGTGAGCAAACGAAGAGCAGAAAACTAGCTATCATCATTGAGGTGTTACGACGCTCTCAGTAATTAAGGTTACATGGCGTCATCCACCTCCCACCCTGGCAGGAAGATTGGGCACCGCGGAGATTTGAACTCCGCACCCCTGGTTTACCAGACGCGCCACTTAACCGCTGCAGTTTCGTCACCCCGGAAACTAGTTGCTTTTCTACAATGACATTACTCACTCCTATAAGGTTTTAGCGCCACTACTCTACCGCCAAACAAACTGCTCCATATATTTGCGGTAATCTACAGAACATGTGCGTGACCAACATGGGCACAGTATATTTTCAGCGACTCACTGCGAAACAAGCACTGTTTATGCCCTCCGTGTCCGCTCGAGAGAACATAGCCTTTGGCCCCTGACTACCATTTGGACACGGCCCGAAACTACTAGGCTTCAGCAGATGGGTACCAGAAGGCCAAATATCCGACCTGACGGAGCTATTTGACTAATAACTCAGCCGCGATTTACATAATGTAAGGCATTTAAGCTTAGTCGAGCCAGAATAGATGAGGGGGCAGCTATTGGAACTGTCACGTTGGTGAAAACATCCGTTTGGATACGGTTAGTATAAAGGCCTCGAATATCGCAAAGCCCTAGCCGTGCCGAGATTTTCGGCCACCAAGACATTGCCAGCTGGTATAGGAGACTATCACGATAAGCTAGCTTGCAATGCATACGCGAATCTCATATGAAATATCGCCCAATGCTGGATCATCTCTTGCAAAGGAACACTGAATGGGTTTCAAAACACGCTTCAAGCCTGGATGTTGTTGACAGCTTCTCGGTGACGTGCTTGCGATCATTCATCGGTATCGTAACCCTGCAACAATACAGTACAAGGGAGAACGACGCAGGCTAAGACCCAGGAGACGTACTTGTTGTAGAGCACGATGTCAGGTCTCCAGATGTGGTCGGACGGCACGTGCAGCATCTCCACTCCACCGTACAGGTCCGGCGACCACGTCAGCTTGTAGTCGTACCAAGCCTGGAGGACACGAGAGAGGCCTCACCCCCGCTCCCGTCAGCATACAAACACGTTAGCCCGAAGTCATACCAGGACTGGATGACACGAAAGAGGCCTCACCCCCGCTCCCGTCAGCATACAAGCACGTCAGTTTGTAGTCGTGCCAAGTCTGGAGGACACGAGAGAGGCCTCACCCCAGCCCACGTCAGCATACACACAGACACTGTCGAAACGTGCGGCAAGTGCTCTGCAGAGTTGACTTCTGCAGTTGTGTCTCACAACTAAAAAAAGGGCCATCACGTGGTCAGACCGAGTATCGTGACCAACTACAGAGCGTTTGAGGAGCCGTTTTGACGTGTCAGACCAAGTACGGAGCGTCTGAGGAGCCGTTTTGACGTGTCAGACCAAGTACAGAGCGTTTGAGGAGCCGTTTTTACGCCCCCGAAGTAAATAATGTTTGCTTTTATTATTTCAGAGATCTTATACTGGCAGCTATCGTTCTCAGGGTCTCGAGGAACCAGGAGACCTTTGAGAAATTACTTGTTTGTATCATGCAATGCTTCTTTTTCAGTCTGCTATGCACTTCAAGCTCACCAACTACATCAATTGGAAAACTGAAGGATCAGATATCCCGAATGGCTTTGAAAACAGTTTCACACGCATTCAGTCTCAGCCATTGGTTGATTTCGGGCGGCATTCAGTGAATGCGTCGCTAAAAGCTTACGTTTCTTCTTTCACAAACAGCATTCTTCAGTGAGCTTAGCGTACCGGAGCCGCTCCCAGCGCCAGAATTTCTGACTCAGCCCACATTAAGGCGCAGCCGGCCTAAGGGCGAAGCTTCGACCTGCATTTTTCACTGTAGGCGACTCCCGACCGAAAGTTAAAAAAAGCTTTGATACGTTCCCACCAAACCTCGCCCCAACCCCTTCCAGATAAGATTGATTGCGCCCTTGACAAAACTCAAGCTGAGGCGTAACGAAGCAAAGCTCCCAAACCCTGCAGGACCGTAGGAACGTCACATCGATGGGTGCGCAAACAAACTTTTCAAACTTATTCTTTCCAAGCTTGTATACATGGTTAGCATATCGAGCATTTAAGAAACGCGTGTTACCAATGGCTCCACGATCTGGTCCCTCAGATTCATATAGCCATGACAGGCCGAATATGAAAGAATGCTCGCTCACCTGTCTACAAGTCGTTGAGGTAACATATACACTGCCGCCCCCCCCCCCCCCCTCTTCCCACCAAGATACGTCACCGCATATCAAGAAGCGACTGTACTTTCCTTTGCCGTTTTCCTTTGCAGGTGTATAAAACAATTCGATTTGTTACCGTGGCCTTAATAATCTATGCACATGACAAACAAGCCAGGTGCCCAGAAGAAACGACGCATAGTAGCAATGACACTTACATGTTTCACCCATAAATTTGTTGTCATGATTTGGCTCTTCAGATTCTGAAACAAAAGGGGCGGTGTCAGTTCATGACGCTCAAAAATTATACAACTGCCACTCTCCATTCCATTGTCTAAATGTAATGAGGTATAGGTCACAGCATGCTTATAAAGCATATGAGAACAAAGGATGGGGCTAGAATTCAGCAGGTACAGCTAAAGACTTCCTTCATTCAACCAGGAGAGAGAATCGGCAATATGCGGCGATGTACTGTACGATAAGGCCACCTCCAACATGCGTAACGAAACAAGCGCCGGCACATTCAACATCACAACGCGTCACGCGCGTATGTGACGTCAGACGATTTCAGTGTAACGCATGATAGACCGTACCGCAATGCCGCCAGAGCCCGCAGCACAGCCTGCCAAGCCAGGCGCGCGTCGGGGCGTCCAGCGGGCAGCGCTGGCGGGGCGACTGCTCAAGGCAGCTGTCTGCCGACAAGTGACGAGGAGTTCTCTACTTATCGCGACATGTTCCGAAGCGATCGACTTGCCCACAAGCGGTGGCAAAGAATCTCGTGCCTCGTGTGAGCAGCGGCGGGATCGGCACACTTGGCGCGCGCAGCGACGGGAGCACAATGCTCCAAAGGACCACTGGCAAGGCGCCTCGTCATGATGAGCGGTGGCTGACAGGTCGCTGATGGTATGAGCCATGCTACTCGCGCCACGCATGATGTATCTCGGCTGCGTGCTCCTCTCTGAATGAGGAGGAGCAGCACGTTTAGTCCAAGGCAACGATCAGAAAAACACGAGGACACGCGAACGCACGGTTCAGGCCTCTGCCGCGTCAGCCTACACCGCAGTCGTGCGGCGCCAGGACGTGGTACCTGTCTTCGGTGCGGCCACACTATGTGGAGGCGCTGCCCTCTCTCCAGCGGCTGCGGGTGCGATAGCGGCAATAGCTTTCCCCTCTAGGCACAGGCACACCGCTGCCTTCCGCATGGGGCAGATAGCCCCCCCCCCCCCCCCCCACCCCTCACCCCGCTCTGGGTTCGAAGCGAAGCGGTTTGGTCGTATCTCGACCTGCGGCTTTTTAGCTAGGCATTAGTCAGGCCTCTGTGCGGGCTGCGACTGTGATGGGCGAGGAAAGACAGCTTTTAAAAGGGAGCTCAAGGGTGCCATTAGCCTTTTGTAATGGGCGATACTCAAAACTGGTGCCAACGTCGTGTCTGTTTACCTGCAGCAAGGTCAGGTTCATACTAACTCAGTTACGTTAGGATTATCAGCCTAAGTTACCAGCCATTGCACTCTGACCACCAATGATGCTCATGCAAATGGTCACGATCCCAAGTTGGAAAAAAGAATGCATGTTCTGGCCCGTAGGGGAAGGAACAGGGGGGGGGAGGGGCAGGGGGGCCTTGGCCCCCCACTTTTCCGGGGGGGGGGGGGCAGCAGTGTTGGCTGCCCTATCCCCGCTCTCGCTTTTCAGATTAACGTTGTGTTTAGCTTACTTTTGCACCACGTTTAAATATATATGCAGATTTACCTAGTACACAAACCATCTTCCTCAAGATGCATCATCTTTTTCTTTTGCCTATTGGCTATCGCTTAATGTCACAGCCACAGGCCGACGCCACGCGGGCCATGGAGACTGCAACGCCGGGCGTTCAGCCTGTTGTTGCTATGACTTGCGAGCGCGTATGTTCAAAACCATATTACATAGCTTATCAGTAATCAGTTCTGACCAAACCTTGAACATTTTAAGACGAACATGGATTAGCCATGTCAATACAAGCTTAGGACTCCATCTCATCTACAATGTACGTTCAAGGATTTCTCAATACTTCTGACGAAAACAGAGAAGCACGAAACTGGAGCCTGTGTGACAATTATTGGACCACCTTTGGCGATCGGGAATGTTGTTGCGTAGATGAGGGCTCCTGTGCTGATCCGGGGCTAACTGCGCGGGTCAGAAGGCCTTCCGTGTCAGGGAAGGGAGCAATGTGATATGATATATCCCTCCAATGGCTTCCGGATCGACCAGGAGATCCCGCCCCGTGTCGCCGGAATGACAGCCAGAAGACGCTTCGCGATTTATTGTTGACTACAGTGGATGTCTCATTATTATTGAACAGAGTAGGTCGAAACAATTTTTTTAACGAACAAGGCCATCGCATGTTTGCCTAAGAACGTTCATTTTCTTCAGAATGGATTAATGAGAAAGTGCATCAGAAGGCTTGAACATGCCGGTCTGCAACCTCGAGAGCAAGGACAGCGATACCCTGGGTTGCAGCTTCCGTAAAACCGAACGGCGTCGGCCACTGGAAGTGCCGCCAGACGGCGGGCGCCGTGTTAATCTGTCTTCTAGACAGATTCGCAGTTACAAAAACACGAAAAATAAAGTATTTACCTTAACTCTTCCAGTTCCACCACCATATTCTAGCACCACCTCGCGGTGCTTTAAGGGCCAATCTGTTCTTATCATCAGTCTAAAAATCGTACATGTGAAATATGCGCCCAGACTGCCTTGTAGATGTAAGATTTGATGTCCTGGTCCACGGACTTTGGAGACTGCAACGTATGGCGTCGAGGTTTCTGTTACTAAGATTTGCGAGCGCGCATGTTAAAAACCATGTTATATAAATTGTATTACTAATCGATTCTGAGTGAATGTTAAACATTTCTAGAAAAACATGGCTTGGTGATGCTAGTACAATTGTTGACTACTCTATCCCCAATCAAAATTTTCACCCTCACATTTCGATCACACAGATCGATCTACAATCTATTTTCGCTACGTCCTCAATGTTTGTAGAACGCAGATAAAGCATTGTGAAAAAGCTTCTGAATTCTATCGGTTTAGAAAGAGTCCACTAAGCCATGGGAAATTAAGAACACCGGTGATGATTCCATGCGATCGTTAAACGCCTGATTTCTGCAGTTTATTGACCTTAAAACGCGTTCGGGTGAGGGGTGAAATTGACTCGTCCCCCTCCCCCGCAGCTTTTTCTATAATGGTCTCCGAACGGCGCGGCGCAGCCGAGCCATGTTTTGCATAACTGTAGACAATTGAATATAAGATCATTTGGCATCAAACATTCATATTTACTTTGTAAGGTCACTGACCTATGACAGGTCAAAGTCAGGCCATGGTTTCAGTGAAGTCAACTTCTAGGGATCGTTCAATCTGATGCAACAATGGAGTGTTAGACGAAGTCATACATCTCTGAGATGCTTTCTTAGGCAACACAAATATTGAATGAGAAAATTACGTTGACCAAAGGTCAGGTATAAAGGTCACACCAAGATCAAAACCATCCTGTTCTATTACTGTAGAGCTTGCTGTATGGGATAGTTTCTAGTGTTCATTTCTAATTTATTGATAGCAGGAACCGCATTTACATCTTCCATCGATTTGGAGGTCAGAATAGGTCATTGACCTAAAATAACCTAGGTCAACATTTTGTGTTTAAAAACACACTGTAATCTTTGTCGCTTATTCAAACGCAAACCTTAGAGCAGCCTCGTGTGACTCTGGTCACAATGAGTTCAAAATATCAAACAAGGTCATTGACCTTAAATGAACATCTGACCTTTTGCTTAGAAACAGTTATCTAGATCCTGAAGCACGTTACAGATGAACCTGGAATTTGACTCTGTTTGACCTTATTTGGCCTAAAATTCATGACCTAGGAACTACAAACTTTGACCTAAGTGAGTTCACGTACAGGTCAACACACCCTGTGAATTTTATGTCTCAGACTCCCTCAGTTCCCGAGATTTCAGGGGGGTCAAATCGACTCCCCACCCGTACAAAGGGTATCTAGCCGGCCATCCGGGCGCGTGTCAAAAATGTAAATTGAATTGATTTCACGGTCGCTTCTGGTTTCTGTTCTGGTTACAACATAAACAATTACAATGAAACGAAGAAAACCGCATCCCCTGTTAACGAGTAAACTTTATGCGGGGATATATTTTTGTGGGGGGGGGGGGGGGGCATCATAAAGGAGGCTTTTGTCAACCCTGTGTGCCTCTTAGCAAGGCTCTGGCTACCCCCTACCCACACACAAAGGCAGATCAAGTCATTTACGTTGAATGACGGACAGCTAAATGTCCGTTGGGCCGATTCACACCTTAAGTAGGCAGCTTCCCGGCGGCATTTTTCTGGGGTGGTGTGGCGTAAGGGAAGATCATTCGGAAAAAAGTACTGTTGCAGGTGTCCAACACATGTTTTACATTCCGATTAGTGGCAATGCTGCTCCAGAAATGTGCAACAAAGCAGCCACACCACCAGTTCGCGGTCAGTCATTCGGAGACAGCTGGACCGGGGCAGTGGTCATCGACAGCGGACGGGAGCAGGGCTCAGACAAGGAATATATGACAGAATGGCGTTTATTCTGTGGCTCCGTGTTCAAAAGAGAATCTCCATTTCTATGGCTTTTGTCATATGGTTTTTAGCAGTTTCAAGCTTTCGAATTTGTTTCCGCCTAAAATGCCACGACAAGTCTTATCTCTTGGAAAGCAGCCAGCGAAATGAAGGCACGTGCACAATATGTTGTACTGTGAGCCATCGATTCACTTTCAAAATTCTCACCAACCTTTGCTCAGGGCATACCCTGGCATCTACCCTGTGGAGACAGATGCCTCCTCAATGACCCAAAATGCCTACCCGCTCGTGGAATTTTGGCTCCCCAGGAAAGACAACGTTGAAATAGAAGAAAATTATTGGGAAGCTGGATAGCCTTATTTCTCGAATGACGTAGGTGAGTCGTATAGGCAAGAGTGTGCATCAATGAGAAACAGCTCTAGATGCATATATAGAATAGCAGTCATTACATCTGAATAAAGAGAGGTAAGCTCCTTCTCTACCCCCCCCCCCCCCCCCTCTGCTCCCTGGTCGTCGGGCTTGTTTTCCAAAAAAAGTTCCTGAAGCACACCCCGAGCTTGGCCCTCCCGCACTTTTTGAAACGTTCCTACGCCTATGTTCTGGCCGGCACATCTAATGCACGTATCATACTTCCACGCCTGCAGTATTTTCGGGCACAGCATTAGCTAGCCATCAT